TGCTCTCACCTACCTGAAAGAAAACAATCAGTGGTATCAGGATGTTGAAATCAACACAGCATGGGAAAAAGAAAATGATCAATGTACCTTATTCAGCCAGCCAGAAGCATTTGACAGTGAAGAAATAAGTGAAGAACAGAACAGTGCCATGCAAGAAGTTGCTACAGATACGTGTTTACAACCTGTAGATATTGCGCAGGAAGTTCTTGATCACTACTTTGATGATGTTTATAATCTTGCTCCAGGCGAAGGACAGAATCCAGTAAGAATGATGCAAGAGGAGGGCAATGAAGCAAAAACTTTTCCTCATTTATTTCCAACTGGAAAATATTCATGGAATGAAAGTCGAGATGTAAGGATTACCCTTTCTCGATATTTTAACAACAGACTGATGAATGCAGATAACAGATTTGCAAAAGATACCAATTACATTTTCTTTTGTCAGTACCTATCTGAATTGAACCAGGTTATTGAGAAAACACAAATTTCAATTCGCAAATCTGTATCGAAACTTGATGGAGGGATACCTGTCACGACAGAAATGTTACAAAATCCTGTTGTGCTTGCAAAACTGCTTAAGAGTGATGAGGCTATGCGATTTATGCAACCAATTAGAGGAACACCTGCATATTGGTCAAGTACACAAAAAGATCTTTTTGCTATGCTTCGACAACTTGGAATCCCCACATGGTTTTGTTCTTTTTCTGCTGCAGAATTCAGGTGGAATGAAATACTGGGTTCCATTATGCTACATATGAATGACAATAGAAATCCTTCTGATCTAGATTGGTCTGAGAAAAGTGAAATTCTGAGAAGCAATCCTGTAACTGTTGCTAGAATGTTTGAACATAGGTTCCATATATTCCAGAACAATGTAATAATGTCACCAGCAAAACCCATAGGAACTATTGTAGATTACTTTGTACGAGTTGAGTTTCAGCAGAGGGGTTCTCCTCATATGCACTGCTTGTACTGGGCTGAGAATGCTCCTAAATTGGATGAGGATAGTGAGGAGACTATTTGTAACTTTATTGATAGGCATATCACATGTGCTCTGCCATCAGAGGACACTGACCAAGAACTTAGACAAATTGTATTGGATGTACAACAACACAGCAAAGGACACTCAAAATCATGTAGGAAAAAAGGAACAGAATGTAGGTTCAATTTTCCAAGGCCGCCTTCAGAGTGCACATTCATTTCAAGACAATTGGAACAAAATGTGGATGATTCAAGTAGTGAGTTAAGTTGTGTGCAGGCAAAGGAGATTTTGTTGAAGGTGTGGAATGAAGTAATGGATGATGCTAAGGCATGTAAAACAACAGAGGAAATATTCAGCAATATTAACCTGTCACAGGATTTGTATGAAAAAGCACACAGAGTATTGGCCTCTAAAACAACAACTGTTTTGAAACGAAATCCAGTAGAAATGTGGACAAATCAGTACAACCCATGCCTGCTCAAAAGCTGGGATGCCAATATGGATATACAGTATGTATTGGACCCTTTCAGTTGCATTGTGTACATTATATCATACATTTCAAAGTCTGAGAGGGAAATGGGAATGCTATTAAAGCAAACTCAGATAGAAGCAGCAGAGGGAAATTTGAGTGCTCATGATACCATCAAGAGGGTAGGATCAGCTTATCTAAATCACAGAGAGGTCAGTGCACAGGAAGCAGTATACAGGGTGTGCAATCTTAAGATGAAAGAAAGTTCAAGAAAAGTCATTTTCATACCTGTGGGGGAAAATCCAACTCGTTTGAGTAAGCCTCTTGCACAAATAAAAAAGAATCAGCAAGTTGAGATTGGTGAAAATGATTTAATAGCAGATGACAATGATGATGAAGAAGAAAATAGTATGTGGATGACAAATATTGTGGAAAGGTATGAAAACCGTCCTGAGTTAAATCTTTTCCATAGAATGTGTCTTGCTGAATTCTGTTCAGAGTACAGAGTGCTTAGTAAATCTCAGATTCCGAAGGGCAAAAAAGACGGTGTGTATGAGTTGAGAAATGGAAAGGGCTTCATTCAAAAGAGAAGTAGAGGCAAACCTGCTGTTGTACGATATCCGAGATTCCATCGAGATAACGCACCTGAGAAATATTATCAGTGTCTTCTACAACTTTTTCTTCCATACTGGAATCTTAATCAGTTGAGACCAACTGGATTTGATTTGTACCAGACATTCTATGAGAGTGGACATGTGAGAGTGAAACCAAACAGAAACTTAGAAAAAGTAAAAAGCATAGTGGATAGTAATCATGTTTACTTTTCTAAAAGTGAGGATGAAATTGAAAATGCCCAAGATGCTTTAGAAATGCTTGGTGAACCAGAGGATGCATGGGCAAGTTTATGTCCAGAAACAGAATTGAATCGAAGAGAATGTTTGAATGAAAAATTAAGAAATGATGAAGAGAATACAGAATCGGAGGTCACAAACGAAATTGAGTGTAGTGGTTCTGAAGATGCTATATATCATTTAAGGGAAACTCAAACCACCAGAAAAGAGATGCTTCCTTTACTGTGCAGTTTGAATGACAAACAGAAGCTGATTTTTTATGCTGTTCATGAATGGTGTGTGAAGAAAATATCTGGAGAGAATGTAAAACCTATGCACCTTTTTATAACTGGAGGAGCAGGAACAGGGAAAAGCCATCTGATTAAGACAATACACTACGAAGCATCTCGTCTCTTTGAAAAATCACTGCCTTCTCCAAATGCAGTATCGGTGATTCTCACAGCTTTTACAGGAACAGCTGCATTCAATATTGGAGGAAATACCATTCATCATGTGTTTTCTTTAACAAAAGCTTTACCAATTCCATATCAACCCTTGAAGGAACAAAGTTTGAGTGGGATAAGAACCAGATTAGAACATTTGCAGATTTTGGTCATTGATGAGGTTTCCATGGTGTACAAAAGACTATTGTATTACATTCATGAACGACTTGTCCAAATAAAAAAGTGTAAAGAACCATTTGGTGGCGTATCTGTGATAGCAGTTGGAGATTTTTATCAACTTCCACCTGTTAAACAACGAAAAGATGAGAGGTTGTATAAAGAAAATGGCTCATATCCAATTGACTACTGGCTAGATTTTTTTGAAATTGTAGAATTGGACGAAATAATGCGACAGCGTGAAGATAAAGCATTTGCAGCTGTTTTGAATTCATTGCGTATTCGAACATCTGAAGAACCCTTATCAGACGAAGCATTGGAAACGCTGCAGGAATGCATCAGAGAAGGACCAGATGATGTTCTTCATGTTTATTCTACAAACCAAGAGGCAAATGAATACAATCTTAAAATGTTGCATGGGAATTGTGAAGAATTAATTGAAGTGCATGCTGAAGATTATCAGAAAGACAAGACAACAGGGAAATTAACTTTACGTGACAAACCTTTGGTTAGTACCCGAGTTGATGGCCTCTCTGCTTCCTTACTTTTGGCTGTGAATGCAAGAGTAATGCTAACACGAAATGTATGTGTTGAGGATGGACTAGTGAATGGTGCAATGGGATATATTTCAAATTTTGTGTTTAAAAGAACACAGCCTGCACATGCAGTAGAAGTAGTTGAAGTCATTTTTGATAGTTCCAGTATTGGTAAAATACAAGGGAAGAAAACACCGAAAGGAAATTTTGTCCCTATTAAAAGAGTGGAGGAAGAGATAAATGAGAAAAATATAAAGAGTGTTGTCAGGCATCAATTTCCGCTGAAACTGTCATGGGCATGCACAGCACATAAAGTTCAAGGCATGACTGCCAAGAATGTTGTTGTGAATTTAGATCGGACTTTCTCTCCTGGTCAAGCATATGTCGCCATCAGCCGAGTTACTTCAAAAGATGGTCTATTCATTGAGACAAATGATGAAAGTGTCCTGCAGAAAAAAATTTATGCCGATTTAGATGTGAAGTTAGCCCTTAATAGAATGGAGAGATACATTTTAGATGAAGAATGGACATGCAAGTTAACAAAGTTTGGAAATTACAAAACAATTCTTTTGTTCAATGTACAGAGTTTGAGAGGACACTTTCAGGAGATGAATTGTGACAACAGGTTAATGAAAGCTGATTTTGTATGTTTAACGGAAACATGGCTGAGAGAACAAGAGAACATTCAAGATATTGAAATTCCAGGGTTTGACTTTCATCATATTTCACGTAACCAGTGTTACGATGATAGTGAAGATGTGATGACAAGATTAAAAACAGCTAAAGGAGGTGGGGTTGGCGTGTACAAGAAGAAAACAAATGAGACAATCTTGATCAATGCTTTGGAATACAAGAATGTAGAGGGATTAACTGTAGAAATCCATGAGGAGGATATCGCAATCATTGTGCTCTACCGACCAAGTGTACTGCCTGTAAACAATTTTCTTGATACATTGCAAAAAGTCGTGGATTTTTACAAGAAGCTTTTTAGCAACTTGATTATTATTGGTGACATGAATGAAGATGCTAAAGTGAAAGGACCCATACAAACGTTTTTGGAATCAATGGGATTTATGCAGTTAGTGCAGTTTTACACAACAGAAGGTGGAACAACATTAGATCATGTATATGTTACTAGTTCTCTGGAAGCCTGTGTACACCAAAAATCATTGTTTTTCAGTTATCATGAAGCCATTGAAATTCATGTGAGAAATCAATAAAGTTCAGACTAATTTTGAGTTCACATTCTTTTGAAAAGAAATTATTTTTTCATCTTGCTTGATGAGAAATGTAAATCTATTATCTGATATAATCTTTATTTCAAAGTCATTGGTCCTTATACTAAGTTTACTTCTTTTTCTATATTCATTAAATTTTTGGTACCTTTTCAATGGTTGACAGATCATGTGACATTGTTGGGATGACACTGTATTATTTTTTTTTTAGATAAATAATTAGTAAATAGAAAAAAGTGAATTTCTTTGTAAAGAAGAGCATAGTCCTGAAATTATATGATATCAAGTATTATATGTTGGTAATATTTGTGTTTTTTATTGTATTTAGAAATCGTCACAGAGCTCCAGATTAGAATCCACAACCACTTTCAATGACCAGACTTCCATGCAGTAAACTCTATATTTACAGAAGATAAAAAAATATCTACAGATTGAAGGTAATATGTCCAAGTAAGTTTTGAGAAATGCATTGGTTTATATTTCTAAAATTAAATATTTTCAGAGGATTCATTTGCAAGATGCAAATTTTATGATTAATTAATCAAACATGTGTGTTTAAGTGTAAGAAGAATGTGTTCTGCACATTTTGGATCTGCCTGTAAATATAAATTTTCTTCTTGTTGAATGCATTTTATTTTTCAATATCCTCTTCCTCTGAAAAGAAATCTTGGTTTATACTTGTCTCCCTTTCTCAAATTAAAGAAAATGATTTTTTTAAAAATTTATCCCCTTTCCACATAGCATACTACATGACTGTACTTGTAATTTTATTCGAAAGAAATCAAATTGTGTTAAAATTTAATGTTTACTTTTGGAAAAAAGTTGTAAAGTTTGCCAAAAAAACTAATGCCCACTTGCTTACATGGTTGAATTGAATTAAGAACAGATTTTATAATTTTAGAAAAATATTTTTATGATTTGTTTTTGAGGATATCTTTCAAATCTGAATTAATCTTCTACACAAAGCATACTATAGTATAGCATTAAAATTAGAACTCGCATCAGATTCTATATTCTCTATACAAAGTAAAAAAAAAAAGGTATCTGACATTGTTTATGATTGAAATTTTGCAAACGAAATTTAGATGTAATTGTCCAGGAGAGTAATTGATAGCTGGTACAGTGTATTTCAAAAATATAATGAACAATTATTGTGAAGAAAAAGGAGTCATTTGCATTCTTACTCTGTATATTTCATTGAAAAACCCATTTTTACTAAAACTGTTGTGAGGTCTATTTTAGCTTAATTTTTATGATTTTCCACTGAATCATGCAGAATTGTTGAAATTTTTATTGTCTTAAAGTATTCAATGTATAACAACCATATTTTGTACGTAATAAATGAATGATTCAATATCTTGAATCATAGTAGCATTTTGAAGGAGTTATCAAATAAAAATGCTCCACTAAAGGAATTAAGAAAATTTTGATTATTGTCCAATTAATTGCATCTTGAATTTTACAATGAAGTCTATAGGCAGCAGATGTTTTCATCTGATATTGTAAAAAGTAATTTGAATTTCAAACAAATCACTTAGTAAAAAAGATGAAAAAAAACTCTGTCTTTATAAAATATGAATTAAATTATTAACTGCAGAAATTTTGAGAAATCAAAAATTTTCTTTTTTTCTTCTTTTCATCAAGGGCAGATAACTCTCGTTACATGTTTTCAGTCTTCTGAATTTGGCACTTTTATAATTATCTAGCAGTGTGTTTTAACCAGTTTAAAATTATCAAAAATCATTCAAAATCCCTTCATTATACATTTAATAACTCTAAACTAACTAAATGAAAAAAGTATGAAATTGTCATGACAAAAATTTCTAACTTCAAATTACTATGATTTTCATACCACACGCTTCAAAAGCGGGAGGGTATATAGTATTCGTTCTGTCCATCTGTCTGTACGTCGTCTGTTACGCTTTGGGGTACCCATCTCTCATCCGTAACTCTTCTCATACCACTGAGTGAAATTTGAATGAAATGAATGAATGAATGAAATCCGACACATTTTGGGTTTCCCATAGCAAAACATGGATCTGCCATTATATTCATGTTGGAGGCGGGGGGTATCATTTAGTAATCTCATTGCTCACAGTACCTCTAGTTTTTATGCCCCCCTTCAAGGAGGGAGGGCATATTGCTTTGCTGCTGTCTGTCGGTCCGTAGGTCTGTCGGTCGGTCTGTCGGTCCACTTAGTTTCCGTTCATATTCTTCCCAACTGTTGTACATACTGAAATAAAATTTGGTATACAGATATATCACATGAATATCTAGATCAAGTTCTGTTATGGGTACGATCGCACCATTTTTGACAGAGTTATCCCCCTTGGACTTGGAAAAATTCCAATTATTTGAAGTTTCTGTTCATTTTCTTCGCAACCGTTGTACATATTAAAATGAAATTTGGTATACAGATATATCACATGAATATCTAGGTCAAGTTCTGTTTTGAATACAATTGCACCATTTTTGACAGAGTTATGCCCCTTGAACTTGGAAAAATTTCAATTATTTGCAGTTTCCATTCATTTCCTTTGCAACCGTTGCACATACTAAAATGAAATTTAGCGTACAGATTGATCAGAGGAATATCTAGGTCAAGATCTTTTTTGGATATGGTCACATCAATTTTGACAGAGTTATGCCCTTGGACGTAGAAAAATTCCAATTATTTGAAGTTTCCGTTCATTTTCTTCATAACCGTTGCACATACTGAGATGAAATTTAGTATACAGATTTATCAGATAAATATCTAGATTGAATTTTGTTTTGGGTACCATTGCACCATTTTTGACAGAGTTATGCCCCCTGGACTTAGAAAAAAATTCCAATTATTTGCTGTTTCCTTTCATTTTCTTTGCAGAGGTTGCACATACTAAAATGAAACTTGGTATACAGATTTATAAGATGACTATCTTGGTCAAGTTTTGCTTTGGGTACATGTACAATCGCGCCATTTTTGACAGAGCTATGCCCTTTTGGACTTGGAAAAATTCCAATTTGGGGGGAGGGGGGCATAAGTGTTTTACAAACAACTCTTGTTTAATAAAGCAGTTTTAACATTTTTATTTCACATATCCCATGTGATAGCACCGGAATTCCCCCCAGATAAAATTATTTTTGAAATATTGTGAAGAGTTGCAAAGAATTATACATTCTCATGGAATTGTTTTGTAAAACATGTTTTGATTGGCTAATGCACTGTTGTTTGAAACAGTAAAACGAGCATTAACAAAGCAGAAAGCTTTTCATTGTGATGTCATAATAGAGCGACACAAAAACACAATGCCCTATGACGTGTTTCATGTAAACTTAATAAAATAATGCGTAAACAACAAACAAAATGCATAGATTGCATTAGAATGGGAATAACTAATCTTCTAATTTGATATTTGCAACCATTAATGCTGATTTAATGGTCGCAAACATCCGTTTTATTGTTTGCGACCATTAAATCAGTATTAACAGTTGCAAATTCCAAATTGGAAGACAGTAAAATTCCCTAATTCTATGGTGTTTTATCAAGAATGAGATACAAATAACTTTTTTTTCAAAAATGTATTATTCAGTGAATTATATCTGTTCTTATAGAAAAGCAAATTCAAAGAATTGTGGTCCCCCGCTTTTGGTGTCTTTGTGGTTGAGAAGTCATTTTAATGACATATTGTTTTAAATATGAATGCCATATCATATGTTATTCAGAAGTTGTCACCAAAGTTGATTTTTACAAAAAAAAATAGGTCAAACTTGTAAGTTAAGGTCAAGAGGTGAAAAATTGTAGCATGCTCGTAAATCTCATTCCACAGGAAATGCACATGTCAAATATGAAAGCCTTATCTCTTCTCGAAAGTTACAAGAAAAAAATATGACTTTTGAAAAGAGATCAAACATCAATGTTCAAGGTCATGCAATCACAAATCATGGTGTATTTAGAAAGGTCATGCAACAGATAATATATATGTGAAATGTAAAAGCACTTTCTCTTTCATTCTTATTTCCATTCTCATGTCGATACGATATTAGTCTCGTTTTCCCCAGACTCTCGCTCTCGAGACTTAGCCCGAGCGAGAGTCTGGTCTGATTCCTATTTAATTTTTGTAACCAGTAGAGGTCGCTAAACCGCTAACAAGATGGCGACTCCCATGAAAATACATGTGAGAATTTACTTTTTAAACAAAGGTATGTGCGTTTTTTGTTCCTTGTAAAGCAGACAAAGGTATTTTAATATGTTTTTCGGTGTGACCGTTGGGGCGAGCGCAGTTGTACCATCAAAAACATTGAGATCAGCCACTTCGAACGTCAAGCCGCACGAGACATCTCGACTAGCTGTGACGTCACACGACGTCACAAAGCTCGTCGGAGCTTACGGAGAGCCGAGCGTCTGTTTGAAACTATAGAACTAGTGCAATTTTTGTCGAAAAACATTGCAGAGTTATTTCTTGTTTCTTTGAAAGATTTCTACAAACTGAAAGTCTGATATATGCTTTACATAATTATTTATTTATTCGGAAATATTCGCGCAAAGGACATTGGGTAGTGCAGGAATTCTGGGAATGTTGCACAGAGAAATTTGGCTGACGTATGTACAGATTTCAATCCGAATTTCCTCTGTTCTTACACGTTAGTCTATTGAGCTCGCTGCGCTCGCTATTATAAATCCAGATAAAGGTAAAGGCGCAGCCTCTGACTTCTTAAAAAATACATTTCATAGCATCGAAGAAAATGTATCAGCCAATGAAAATCCATACCGATTTCTCGGTAAGCCTCGATTTGAAATTACAAAAATTAAATAGAAATCAGACCAGACTCTCGCTCAAGCTAAGTCTCGAGAGCGAGAGTCTGGGGAAAACGAGACTAATACGATATATCCTGGTGAGCATAAGATAAAAGATAACACAAAGACTGACACATCTGTTTCAAATTTGGAAAGTTTACTTGAAAAAGACGTTAATGGTTATCTAACAACTAAGCTCTATGATAAACGTGATGACTTTAACTTTCCTATTGTCAATTTATAAATTTGAGTTAATATATGAGTTTTTTTTATATCTTAGTTGATCCAATGTGGAAGAGCATGCTCTTCTTATGAAGTTTCTAAAACAAGGTGTATTATTGACAAACAAGTTGATTAAACAAGAATTTAAGCAGTCTCGTTTAGAATCATCATTTTGTTAAATGTTATTTTTCTTTAATTCTCCAATTATGAGAATAAGCATTAAGCACAGGGCGGGTGTGACTTGTCAGCAGGGGATACTCACTCCTCCCTTACACCTGATCCCACTTCTAATGTTTTGGAGGTCCATGTTTGCTGTGCTCTCATTCTGTATTGTTTTATGTCTTATACTTTTTATATCCCCCGCTTGAAAAGCGGGAGGGTATATAGTAATTGGTATTTCCGTCCGTCCATCTGTCCTTCCGTCTAGCTGTACATCCGTCCCTCTGTTATGTTTTGGGGTACCCATCTCTTATCCGCAACTCTTCTCATACCACTGAAGGAAATTTAATGAATTTTTAACAGAATCTTTATTACATATTGCCACTGTGCACCATCTATTTAACTTTTTGATCTGACATGTATTTTGGATTTTCCAAAGCAAAACATGGACACTGCCATTTTATTCATATGTTAGGTGGGGGTATCATTTAGTGAGCTCATTGCTCACAGTACCTCTAGTTTAGATTCATTTCTCAATGAACAATAAAGGGGAGGGGGGTTCAAAAAGATTTTCCAAGCCAAAAATAAAAATAGGAAAAATAATAAATTGTCCATATATGAAAAAAACTATTTTAGAAAGGGGTGTGTGTTATGATCAAACTTTGAGTACATTTTTTTCAACATCTTACCACTTTTGTTTTAATAAAATGTAATATGTGCATTTTAAGAGGGGGGTGTAAATGTTCGCCCTAATGCTCAATGCCTTTATTGCGTATTTAAAAAAAGTGGGCAGGAGGGATGGGAGCTACCCTATCTCTATATTGTAGCTTGCACAAATGCCTTGATAGGTACATGTACCTCAATTATTTGTTAGTAAACTTCTTAAAGCAACAATACTTCAATGACAAAATCTCAAAAAAATACAGTATTTAGGAACATATCATCTGTCCTTATGATATGAGGATAAAAATAAAATGGCATAAAATGCATATTTTTTAATGTATCAAACAACCCTCCTCCCCTCTAAAAAGAAATGGTGGTTTTAATTGTGAGTATTCTTTCTTTTTTATTTCCAGAACCATTCTTCAAGAAAAGAAAACAGCTCTTGATGTAGAACAGCTCACTTGAACCATCTTTATCTCTTCCACTTTTCTTCAGAGCAAAAGGAATGAATAACAATGAATGAAAGAATTACAATTTTGAAATGAGTTATTATGGTTTTTAATTGGCAGATGTTTAAAGTTCACTTTTAAAAAAAGTTTATGTTGCTAATAAAAAATTGACATGAGAAGTTGAATCTTTTTTGATGCCCCTATCATAAAGATAGGTAATCAGAGACTACAGAGCTCACCTAATTCAATGTTGTATTTAAATAAGGTAAAGTCCCACAATTTACAATCATTCTTAAAGTGTACATCCCAAAATGCAACATTCATGCAAATGATAGGGCTTGCAGTTACTGGGAAATAGACCTATAGATCCAGAAACTTCAAAATAGTCACCCATCTGCCATCAAGAAAACATAATTCATATTCAGCATCTCTGAATCGAGTCCATTATAGTGTGCATCCTTAGATACATGTATACATGTATAAGCCATGCAAGTTTGCTCAAATATTTCGCATATACCTTCTTTAGATTGAACCTGTTACAGGTACAAAATCTTTATCCTGTTCACTCATCATTGAAATGTAGGTCAGATGCAGTATCTGAAGTAATTCCATTAGTATGCATCCTTACGTTTCATCAATGCAAGTTTGTTCGACAAAGGGCTTATAGGTACTTGGAAATGAGACCTACATAAAACAAGAGGCCCACGGACCTTGTAGGTCACCTGAATATCATGTAACAACTTTCAAACAATTGAATTTTGAGGCCATGAAATTCACAATTTTGAAAGAGGTGCCATTGCTTATCATAATCATACACTTAGTTTGCTTACTCTAGTTACTTAATACCCAGAGGTAGATCAGAGTAACGAAGAAAAAATGCATTTCCAACTTATTACCAGTTGTGCACCCTACCCCAGAGGATTCACTGACCCTGGTTCAATTTATTTCAAAATGTAGGAAATTTGATCGTCAATTTTATTTCATCATAAATGGTTGATTAATACTCAAGAGCAGATTTCAAAGGATTAATTTATTTTCAGACTATTTAACCCCCCCCCCCTACCCCTGACCCAGGGGGGATGAAATTAACCATTTTGATAGAGGCACCTTTTTTTCATCTTATATATACTCAGATCATTGGCATAATACCCAGGTGCAAAGGAAAAGATTTTCGGAGAAAGTATTTTCACTATATAATTAAAGACCCCACTTACACAAAATGGGTAAACCCCTGACACAGGGGCCATGGAATTTACAAATCAGGCTGAGGTACTCTTGCTAATTATAACTGTTTAGTTTATTGAGTACCCAGGAGCAGAAAGAATTTTTTTTCCACTATATAATCAATAGAGCCCCACTCTAACATCAGAACCCCTGACCCCGGAGCCATAAAATTCACAATATTGGTAGAGCCACTCTTGCTCACCATAACTATGTACTTAGCTTATATACTAGTAATACTCAGGAGCAGAGAAGAAGATTTTCAAAGAAATAATGCATTTTTAATATATAATCTATTTAGCCCCGCCCTAGCACTAGAACCAATGACTCTAGGGCCATGAATTTCACAATTTGTGTAGAGGACTCGATGCTTATTACATTCATACCAACAGATTAACTGCTCAATGTTCAGGAGTAGAGAAGATTTTTAAAGATTTCATTAATTTCAGTGGTTTAATAAGATGTATTAATGTGATTCCAAGAAGGATTCCAAAAAAGAGAAGTTATATTTTTGACGACCGGAAGTGACGGCGGACAATATTAACCCTAATGGATTTGTCTACTGATCAAGATCCTTTACCCCTATAAGTTTGGTGTCTTAATCTCTTTCCGTTTACGAGATCTTGCTATGATAACTTCTCATTTTGAGGACAGGGAATCAAGTGACCGGAAGTGAATTTTACAAAGGTATTTGAGGTTACTGTAGACATACGCAGTCTAAATAACATATCCGAAAATCATTACAAATACTTTATCTATAAAAAAAATTATGGGAAAGAAAAATACTCAAATTATGTTGTTAAGTTGTACTTTTTGTTTCTGGTCGGACTACCGGTAATATATTTTGAAACTACAAATAAAATGCTATAATGTGATGCAAAAAAAGTTTCATAAAGGAAAAGTAGAATTTTTTAATTTCTTTGATCACTTTCTTTTACGGCCGGAAGTGAGGGCAGAAAATCTTATCCCAAATGGTTTTGCCTACTCATTAAGATCTACCACTCCTTTAAGTTTGGTGTCTTAATCTCTTACGAGATCTAGCTATGATAACTTCTCATTTTGAGGACAGGGAATCAAGTGACCGGAAGTGAATGTTACCAAGATATTTGACGTTACTGTAGATATTTGCAGTCTAAATAACATATCCGAAAATCATTACAAATACTTTATCTATAAAGAATATTTATGGGAAAGAAAAATACACAAATTATGAAGTTTTACTCTTATAACCGTAAGTTGTCGGTTTTGTTTCCGGTGGGACTGATATAATTTGAAACTACAAATAAGATGCTATAATGTATGCAAAAAAGTTTCAAAAAAGAAAAGTTGAAATTTTCGATTTCTTAGATCACTTCCTGTGACGACCGGAAGTGACGCCAGACGATCTTATCCTAACTGTTTTTGCCTACACATCAAGCTTTATCACTTCATTAAGTTTGGTTTCTTAATCTTTTACAATTTACGAGATCTAGCTATGATAACTTCTCATTTTGAGGACAAAAAATCACGTGACCGGAAGTGAGTTTTGCAAAGATCCTTGAGTTTACTGTAGACAGTTACAGTCTGAATAACATGTCAAATAATCATAACAAATACTTTATCTATAAAAAATATTTATGGGAAAGAAAAATACTCAAATTATGTATCTTTCTCTTATAACCGGAAGTTGTCGTTTTTGTTTCCAGTGGTACTGACATATTTCAAAACTACAAATAAGATGCTATAATGTGATACAAAAAAGTTTCCAAATAAGAAAAGTTAAATTTTTCGATTTTTTTATCACTTCCTGTGACAACCGGAAGTGACGGCGGACAATCATATCCCAATTGGTTTTGCCTGCTCATCAAGATCTACCACTTATAAAAGATAGGTGTCTTAATCTCTTTCCGTTTACGAGATCTAGCTATGATAACTTCTCATTTTGAGGACAGGAAATCACGCGACCGGAAGTGAATTTTACAAAGATATTTGACGTTACTGTAGATATTTGCAGTCTAAATAACATATCCGAAAATCATTACAAGTACTTTATCTAAAAAAAAAATTTATGGGAAAGAAAAATACTCAAATTATGTAGTTTTTCTCTTATAACCGGAAGTTGCCGTTTTTGTTTCCGGTGGGACTGATATATTTCGAAACTACAAATAAGATGCTATGATATGATGCAAAAAAAGTTTCAAAAAAGAAAAGTTGAAAATTTCGATTTCTTAGATCACTTCCTGTGACGACCGGAAGTGACGCCGGACGATCTTATCCCAAATGGGCTCGCCTACTTATCAAGATCCATTACTCATATAAGTTTGGTGTCTTAATCTCTTTCCGTTTACGAGATATGACTCAGACAAAATTATTTTGAAAAAAGCGGAAATCGTACATATCTGACGACCGGAAATGACTTTTGAAAAACTGAAAACTACATTTGAAAGATATTTTCACTCTCTATCATCCCTGAAAAATCATCTCTGAGAAATCGTCAAAAAAAGAAAAGGGGAAAAAAAAAATAATAATAATAAAAAGAAACAGTAGAATCACTATAAGGTCTTCCGTCTGAAACGGAAGACCTTAATAATCCAAAACGACACTTTTTGGTAGGTAGGAAGATTTTTTTCCTTTAATATTAAATTATATCAAGTCAATTTACAATCAAAGATTTTTCTAAATTGAATCTTTTTATTCAGCTTAACAAGATTTGGATGTCTTATGTAATTTCAAGCTGAATACACTATATATATATGTACAAGGAACCATTCCGCCGTTCTTGACCTTGACAGAAAGCATTGAATGTATTTAAGTCCAAATATTGGTTAACAAGCTCAGAACCTCGTTATCTTTATCTATTATTTCAATCATCTCTAAAAATCAGATCATTTATATTTTTTTTATCTCAAAACAGGAAGTAACAAAGAACATTGTATATATATTTTAATGGCACTTTGTTTCCAACATTTGTCCAATGTGAATTGTACGTGTAAATGGTTTCGAGGTCTATCTTAAGAAGACTTAGCTCATGATATTTCGGTATTAATTATCAATACATGGAGTGCTATGACTTATGAGAAATTTATAAACGGCATCAACATATCTATTTTTGTCTGTACATTTGGTATTACACAATCTGGCTATTTATGTCTGGTTCTTTATGTACAAGATAATCCACACTTAAATAACAAAAGAAATCACACCTATTGCTAGGGTAAAATAATTATTATCTCAAATCAATGTAATGTCCTGTAATGTTAAAGTCAGGCAACTTCTATATTATAATAGAAATATTTATCTATATTTGGATATACAAAATATTGTTTTATACACCAATGTTCCCTTTCATAATTAAAATGATTCCATTGAATACCGGACCAAAGAGAGCCTGGGGCCTCTCAGAGTACCTGTTAGCTGCAGATCTGTAGCGTTATGGTTTTATATATTTGTCTTTTACCATAACGCTTCAGATCCCTTAATGCAAAAAAAGGTGCAATTTACGGCACAATATTTTTTGCGCACTTCTGGAGGCTCACTTTTGGGAAGAATTTCTCCACTTTCTAGCATTGGTCAATCAACTATCGTTCACTCCCAATTTTAGACATACTCTGTAGCGTGGAAAAATTCTCCCTAAAAGTGCGCAAAAAATATTGCACAGTAAATTGCACCTTTTTTGGATTACTGGATCTGTAGCGTTATGGTCAAAGACATATATAAAACCATAACGCTACAGACCTGCAGCTAAGTACCTGTCTGCTTGTCTGTCTGTAGATCACATGTAACTTCTTCACTTTTTCCGATACTTGAAAGGGGATTCATATTAATATGAATACATTTTCAAAATAGTGTGTACATTCACGTTTCTTCAAATCGGTAGGAAAAATATTGAGTTTTCCCCCAAAAAAACAATTGGTCGTTTTTGAGCATCTTAAAACATTGCACTGGGGGTAG